AGCTTACATTTGATTTACCTATTACAATAGTCCCTTTACAGTTACTGCTATCATAAAAATACACTTATATGAAGGCTTAAAATTCTACAAAAGGCACATTTAATGTCCAACAACCAATAGTTTAGCAAAATGTATATTTTACTCAGAATTATTGCGCTCTGTCTGTTTAGCGTGCAGCAGCGCTCGTTCACTCGCGTGCCTCGCCCACTCCTGACAGCAAAATGGATATGTTTGCATGACTTTCTAACATTTACAGATGAAAAATATATCTGTGACATGTCAGTTATGCACTGAGGAAAACACAACGTCTCAAATGCATTAAACAGCACAGATATAGTCGCTGTTTGCGAAGGTGGATCGATTTGATCCATGATCGACATTACGGGCTGCGTAAGAATAAGCGTGCACAAATTAGTGAGATTGTGTGAACTTAATTTGTCGTTAATGGAACCGCTTTAGCCCCGAGTGATTTGTTAGGTTATTTCAAGCCAGGTTTTGGACTTTAATCCCAGTTTTTTCTCGGGTCTCCGTGGTGTTGATGCAGCATATTCACGCAGCAGTCCTGATGAGAGAGCGCGCTTGACAAACAAATACATAGATCACAGATTATTGGTCACTTTCTAAATAATAAAAGTGTAGCGCATCCACTAGTAATTCTATATAAATAAATCGTTTTTTACCGATGCAACTATGTTAGAAACGATGCATCGCGATGCAAATGACAACTTGTAGCCGATGCACACTTTTTAAACCAATGCATCGCATCGTTAACTTTTTATGCCGATGCACCGAGCGAATCGGGGAATCTTCCCATCCCTACTTTCCTACAGAAGACTGTTTTTCGCCCCAATGAGATGACATCACTATTTTGGAACATTTCATGTAATGTTGTTGTTGTTTTTTAAAATTCCGTTTATAATGAAATGAAATCAGTCACGTTTCGTTTTTAGGGTTTTTCGAATAGGATGCGTTCAGGTGTTTAAAAACAGCCAGAGGGCAGCTGAACACTGCAGAACCACACTTGTTTTTATAAGTTTAACTACGTTTTGCTTGACAGTGCTTCTTAAAAACACAACACTTAGTTGCTGGGGGAAAAAAAAACTAAAATGCAGCACAACATGCCTTTTTATTTTATTTTTTTGTAAATTATATTTATTATAAATATTTATTTAGTAATTTGGATTAAAAAGTCAAAGTGTTTCCTATACCTTTTTATATACCTCT